TATATATATATATATATATATATATATATAAACATTGCTTAGTACATGTTAAAAATACGAGTTTTGCCCCTACAAACGCCCAAGGTGACTGGCTTTAGCGTGAAAAAGTATAATGGAAAACTTTTTGGAATGAATTCGTCATGGTACTAGGGATATCCGTGATCGGAAACGTGCAAAACTTCCCGTTCCTCCACATGAATAAACGCATTGTCCATAATCTTGCTCAGGTGCGGCTAACAGTGTGCACGACCTTATCTCCGGGATCTACTGTTTGCAACAGATCTCCGTAGGCAAAGAGAGTAAGGACATGTCTTCACCACTGTTCAAATGATCCGATTCAACACATTTCATCAAAGTGTCTGAATGAATTTAGCCATTTCTTGATTATACAGTGGTTAAAATCGAACAACGAGGAGTAAAGCATTGAAAGCCGCGGTGGTACCACCAGGAGTTCAGATGTCCGACGATCAGTTCAGTAGTCCAGTTCGTACAATCATTACCATGCACTTTCATGCGCCGGTTTTCGTTGCTTTCTTTTGGCTGCCCATTTGGATTAGCAGTAGGGGAAAGACAGGAAGGTTTTGAGAAACGAATGGAAAAATGGGGAATTTCAGACACGATCAACAAACACCAACAATAAACCGGAATAACAAGACCTACTTTTTCCACGGAAGCACACAGAGTCCACAGCATTTTTCAAGTTCCTCCAATTGGCCTTCTGCAACCATCATATCCTCATGGATTACGTCCATATTTTGATCAACACGCCGTAATTGTTCTGAAAAAAGTGTTACTGTTTTCACTTTCTGCAATGTATTGCAACCATGTGATAGAAATAAAACTTTTCGACATTTCGGTCGAATCCTATCCGACGATCATAGAAAACCACCTTGTAGGTAGTGCAGTACAAAAAGGCTAACAATATGGTGAAGGACAAAACCACCGATAGCTCGGATAGTCACACGATTCTTTCTTGAATGCTGAGGTAATAAATGAATAGTCCAACAATAACAGGATACTCTAAACAGAATAAATCGCCACACAGGTCAGTGACATTCTTTCTATCAGACAGTCACATACTCTATCACCTTTCAATGCGAGAGGAATTGAAGATTGGCACTTTCAGTGATCAAGTGTTCCTCTATACTGTCCTATTTCTGATCCTGCTGGAAGTTTACGTGATTCCATTCATGAAATAAGTCTCTCAATTCAGATATTCTACCCTTAGATAGGACATTAGACATAAAGCGTGAATAGCAAAGATTTAAACTACCATTGTTTATTACAGGAGAAATATCCCTTCGTATTGAGCATTATCGACCGCTGACTGAAACAAGTAAAGCCTTACTATATGGCTATCTTCACACTGGAAAGACCATGAGGCCGAGTGACAGAAACACGAATAGTAATGTTTGGACACGAGGTTGGAGCTGGAGAGCGTCGTTTTATGTAATGAAGCAACAACTTTCTTCAGGTTAGCGCGACAGAATCAGTTGCAGTTTGCCCAACCATCAACCATGCACTTTCGTGCGCCGGTTTTAGTTACCGTCTTTGACTGCACATTTGAGTGAACACTAGAAAGACAAGAAAGTTGGAAATAGAGTCGAAGACAAAATGGGGAATTTCAATGGACTAATGTTACAAAGAAATTGAGAGGATATACCAACGCCATTATTTATGACTCACAGTCATATCACTCAATGTCTCTCACCACCAGTTACTTTCATTCCGAGGTCCCCAACCAAGGAGCCTAACGGGACTTATGTGACACGGTCCCCTGGTTACGGATTTCATACCCTCATGTCATGTCACGGCGAACATCGCTCGCCGTGGTAACCTATTTCGTGGCATGCGTAACACATGCCCCAACCAACTTACTGTATGAAATTATCATTATTACTATTATAATTACTACTACTATTATTATTATTAGCATTAGTATTAGTATTATATTTCACACTAGTCTAAGGACCGACTGTGTGCCAAAAAAAATCATGGTACAATAATCTTTATAAAAAGAAGAACGTTCCACGTTTTGCATGTGGGCTGAATACTGCCAGGTTACCCAGGCCAAGGCAGGTGAATTTTCCTTTTCTTGAGGAATCCGCAACCGGAGCCTTCGGCTAACCAAGGCCTGACCCACAAGGGAGTGGGGCGGTGTGAAAACCGCAGTCCATTGGGAGCCGGTGTTCAGTTCATCGGATCATAGGCCCTTCGGCCGGGGTCAAACGCCCAAGGTGCAGAATACACCTAGATGCCCCATTGAGCCGGTGATCACTGCCACAACCGAAAACGCGTGTATGTGGTTCGTACGCCTCCTCTTGGTTGGTTTGGAATCAGGGTTTTTGGCCAACTCCCCTAGATGAACTACCAGTGGTCCACCAACCCGGTTATGGCCCCGAATGGTTTTCTTACTCTCAATTTGGTGGGAAAACACCTCCACCAAGAGAAAGCAGTGAGTAGGTCTTCCTCAGCAGAGGCTATTCGAGACGCTTGGTTGTATGGGAGCATTTCGTGAGGTGCAAGGAAATGGTGACCAGCCGCAACCCTAGACACCCACCCCTGACCATACTGAGGCTTTCGGAGGTCGGCCACCTGCTCCAGTGGGTGACCGCAGTTGCACAAAACTCTGCGCCTAACCTTAGCATGGCTTGTGCGGTTACCCCACCACACACGTGCAATGCGACGTAGACAGCAGTGTTCAAATGCCAATAGTATATCTTTATTCTGTTTCCTTAGTGGTCACGTTTCTGCATGGTATAGCAGCACTGGCCGAACTGTCACAGCATATACTATAGCATTGATTGACAGCCAGGTGTCGCGACGGCACCAAAAATGTTTCAAGTTGGCAAATGCAAACCGCGCCTTTTGTATACGAGCTGATGCTTCAGCCGTGATGCGTCCGCCGGGTGAGATATAGCTGCCCCATTAACAAAACCTATCCATTTGATCTATTACTTCCCGATCAGAGTGAGCCTGGGCGCTGGGCAAACCCAGTCTTGTAGTAACATTTTACACTTTGAATGTGCAAAATGCATACCAAAAATGGCTTTGCTGGCACTGAAGCTATCGAGAAAAGCTTACAACTTACCTGGATCTTCGCGTAGTAGCACAATATCGCTTGCACACTCCAGATAGGACAGTCTGCTACCTTGCAGCAAATCGATGATTCTCGCATGAGGATAGGGCTATTCTCATAATTAAATCTAGAACCAAGTTAAAGGAGAAAGGAGAGAGAGTGGGCAACCCTGACGAACACCACTTTCCGTGGTGAACTCGAGGGAAAAAGTGCGGTAAGCTCGGATTCGACTGTGGCTATTAACATAGGGGGATCGTAATATTGAAATAAACTTCTCGCGCAGATCCTTTAGAGCGAGGCAGCGTCAGAGCTTAGAGTGGTCGACTGAATCGAAAGCTGCTTTCAGATCAAGGAAGACAGAGATGATGGGTTGGCAAAGTATTGAAAATCGGTTCTCGGGTCTACAAAAAGAATGTCGGTGCTCCAGAGTTTGACCTGATTCCTACATGTGCACTCTTCACGTGCGGCAGACAATCGACAGAGTATGATATCAGCGAGAAGTTTAGTTTATTCTAGTTTTGCTGATGGCCACCCCTCTTTGCACCTAGCGTCTCAAACAACTTCTGCTGAGGAAAACCTACTCCCACCTTTTCGTGGGGGTGTTTTTCCACCAAAAGTGAGGGGACGAATGGCCGACATCCGGGGTTGTAACCGGGTTGATGGACCACTGGCAGTTCATCTAGG